CTTGTGACTGTAACTCTCTGGGAATCTCCAGCGAGCAGTGCCACCGTGCGACAGGTCACTGCACCTGCGTGAAGGGCGTGTCCGGCCTCAAGTGTGACGAGTGTGCCCGGGGCTACCAGGGCGAGTTCCCCAACTGTGAACCCTGCGACCCCTGCTTCGCCGTGTGGGACACCGTGGTCACTGAGCTGACCAATCAGACCCAGCGTCTGGAGGGTCAAGTCGCAGAGCTGCAGACGACCGGGGTGACGGCGCCGTATAAAGAATTGATCGGCAGTCTGGAGCGAAACATCAAGGCTGTCAAGGAAATCATAGAGAGCAACCCTGCAGGAGTGAAGCTGGAGCAGGTCCAGGAGCTGATGAACCACATCACGTGTGTACACAAACAAATCCAGATCTATTGGAAACCTTTCTATGAACCTCCTTGTTGTTTGAGCTCATCTATGGGTTTGTTGTTTCTTCAGAGGTGTGATGTCCTACGTCAACATAAAGCTGAACACCACAGAGGAGAGCCTGAACCTTCTCCACAGCGATGCCAACGCCACCGACGCCAACCTGGACGCTCTGACAGATGAGGCTAATAAACTGGAGCAGAGTGTCAAGGACCTGAGACAGGAAGTGTACAACGCCAAGAACGCCAACATCAAGGGTAGGAAACCATCGCTTACATTGCGTGTGTTTTTTAAGACTTTTTTGCTAGCAGAAAAAAATCAGCATGTCATCAGCGTATTGCATCATTTTTTAATTAATTGAAAAAGGATCATCTTACAAAAGAGCTGAGGAACCTGTCCTGAGGAATAACCATTTTAAAATACCCGACATGTCACATTCACAAGAGACAGATTATCGCTTATAAATGATTCAATAATAATAATAAAGTTTATTTATAAAGCACTTATCAAAACCAATGTCACAAAGTGCTTTAAAGAAAAAAGAAAAATCCCAACAGTCAAATACACAACAATAAAATCCTATTAAAAAAGCATGAAAAATAAAACAACAGTCCAATTAACAGAGGAAAGAGAAACAACCGAGACAGAGATCGGCTAAAGTTAACAGTAAAACATATAAAACATCATGGATGAAACAAGGATTATAAGAAGGCCTTATGATAAAAATGTGTTTTTAAAAGTGATTTAAATGAAGATACTGATGTAGCTAGTCTGAGATCCTCAGGCATCCTACCTCCTCTGTATTTCACGTCTTACATCACTGTGATTTTCATGCACTGTGTGTTTTTAGGTGCTATGGACACTATTTCAGATGCACACTTTAAGTCCACGATGGCAGAGGTCCGCGCCAACGCCTCCACCAGCAGCCCTGAAAGCACAGTGGAACAGTCGGCCTCAGTACGGAAAGCCACAGAGGACAAACTGAACAGCGGTCAGAAGGAGTTCAACCGCAAGCTTGAAAGAAACACGCAGAAGCTCGACAAACTGTCCGACGAGCTGGATAAGTTTGACCTGACGCCGATTAGTGAGAAGGTTAGAAAACGCTGAAGGAGCTGCATCACAAAGAGGGGGACTCACACTGTATGCTGATGATGATCTCCTGTTTGTTCATCTCTCTCTCTGCAAGACGTGCGGTGGCGCGGCCGAGGGTGACAGCTGCTCCGGCTCTCCCTGCGGCGGTTTGGGTTGTGTCGGCGAGGACGGGGCACCTCGGTGCGGCGGGGACGGCTGCAAAGGCGTCGTCACGACCTCCCAAACTGCTCTGAAATCAGCCAAAGACCTGGACCAGGAGATCCTCACCGCCATGCAGGAGGTGGACAAGCTCTCCAGACTGGTGAGTGAACGAAGAATGGAGGGAAAACTGAAGATGGATGAAGGTAAATATCGTATTCACTTTTTTTGTTTTTGTTTCATGAGGTGTGGGAGGCAAACACGCGCGCAAACAAGGCTAAAGTGGACGCTCAGACGGTGCTGGTCAAATCCAACCAGAGCAAAGAGAGAGTGGAGCAGAGCAACGAGCAGCTGCGCAGCCTCATCAAAGAGATACGAGACCTGCTCACCAGTGAGTGCACAACACACACACACACACAACCTGCTGAGGCACCAAAAACATGATAACATCAACTGAGTGATTTGTGTTTTGTGTCTGGTTACTCCAGATGACAAGGCCAATGTGTCCGTGATCGAGGCAGTGGCCAACGAGGTGCTGGCTCTGGAGATGCCGACGTCGTCCGAGAAGCTGAAGGAGCTGACGAAGGAGATCCGGGAGAAGGTCAACTCTCTGACCAGCGTGGAGACGATCCTCAGTCAGAGCGCCAGTGACATCCAGATTGCGGATGCGCTGCTCAAAGAGGCCAAGGCTGCAAGGTAACACACAGCTCTGAATCAGGAAAACAAGACGTCCTCCAAAACCAAATATTCTCATGCAAAAGATCAGTTATCTGATCTCATCATGTCTTCACTTTATATGTTCACAAAGTAACGTGTACACTTTCTGTCCATCAGTGAGCAGGCGACTAACATGAAGGAGACGGCAGATGTGGTGAAGGCAGCCCTGGTTGAGACTGAGCGTGCTCAGACCATCGCCATGGACGCCATCGAGCTGGCCCAGAACAACACAAAGGGAACCCTGGAGCTGCTGATCTCTGTGAGCGAGCGTTCAACAAACAGTAACATCAATATGTCCAACATGTTTCTTGAATGTTTGAATATCGAATGCCCTTTTATCCTGACTGGAGAATTAGTGCCACTAAGTGTTCATCTTGATGAACTTACTTTTGAACATCTGCAAAAGTAAAAACGCTTTAAGAATCAATACATTTCTTTTGCTTCAATTTTTCAGAAATTCCTTTCAAATTTGTTTTATTTTTCTTCAGAACATGTAGCCAACGCTTGATGTATGACATGTCAAAATGTTACCGTTTTATCAACATCGTACAAACTTAAAGAAGACACTGAACTCTCCATCTTCTGTGCTCGGGGTCAGGAAAGCTCAGCCAATGAAACGTCATAGCTCGCCTCAGGTTTTAATTGTTTTGGAGACATTCAAAGAATCCTCTGTCTGCACTGTTTTGATCATAATCTTTCATTTCCTTTTACTTTGTTATTACGTTTTTAAAAGTCCTCATCTCTCCGACTGATTTAAGCTTCATGTGCCAATAATTGAAGCAGAATTTTTAAATGAAACACCAGTTTTAAATGTGTGTGTGTGTGTGTGTGTGTGTGTGTGTGTGTGTGTCAGGTGGAGTCTGAGACGGCTGATTCGGAGCTGAAGCTCAGCAACACGACGGGTCGTCTGGTTCAGCTGGAGCGGGAGGTCGGCCTGCTGAGACAAAACAACCTGGAGGTGAACCAACTCGCCAAGGCGGCCGACTGGGTCTCGAACCAGGCCAGACTGACCGCTGAGGAAGCCCAGCAGGTATTACACACACACACACACACACACACACACCACACCACACACACACACACACACACCACACACACACACACACACACACACACACACACACACACACACACACACACACACACACACACACACACACACACACACACACAGTAGAATGTAGAATGTATTTGAGTAACCCTTATCTGTGTGTGTGAAGGAGTTTGACGAGGACGTGAAGGACAAATTGGAGAAGGTGGAGGACCTGGTGGAGGTTAAAGGGGAGTCGGTGCTGCAGGCGAAAAGGAAAGCAGACGAGCTGCAGAAGGAGGCCAGAGAGCTGCTCGCTCAGAGCAGCAGCAAGCTGCTGAGACTCGGAGGTAGGAACATGTTTTAGAATTTCTAAAAGATTTATTTCCGGCCATTTAGCCTTTATTTGCCTACTAACTTAATGATGATGGTCTCCATATTATTGATGATGATGATGGTAATGACGATGGTTCTTGTTTGATAACGACGACTTATAAGATGGTTTCTATACTGATTAGAGCTCTCAAGAACTGCCCTCAATGTTGTGCGTCTGCTAAGTGAATTGTAGAAATACCTCCTTCCTGTCAACACCTTTTCTCTCCTGTGGTTTTCAGAGTTGGAGATCTCCTACGAGGAAAACCAGCGGACTCTTGAGTCCAAAGCTGCCGAGCTGGCCGAGCTGGAGCAAACGGTGCGCCGGGTCCTGGAGGAGATCAGCTACAAAGTGACGCTGTACAGCACCTGTCTGTGATCAATCACCTGGACACAGCGTCACCTCAGACTCTTTACTGTTCTCAAAGGTTTCAGCTGGGATTCTAATGGTGCCAAAGAAGCCCTGAGCAGACGTGCATACATAAATTATAATTTACTCCTTTTCCCTGTGATCACGAGTCATTTCTAGTTGTTTTCCTGAGATCAACTTATTTATCTCGTTGGCTCAAGATATCAAAAATGTGTTTTCTCATTCTCTGGCGATCCTGAAAACGAAACGACGAGCTGATTGGTCAGAGCCCACACTAACAAGGAAGGTTGAGAATATTTCTGAGTGTTTTGTGCTTTGCTTTTCTCTGAGTACACGATCAGTGAATCTCAAGGACACAACTGGGAGTTACTCGTCATCACTGGAAAGCTGAGTGAACTTATTACATGGATGCATGTCTGCTTAGGACGCCAGTGAAATACAGCTGTCACCCGAGTGTTTGAAAGCTATCGCGATGTTAGACCCTCTCAGTGCCAAAAGTTTTGTCTGTTCGTGTCTCTGCCAACGACTTAACACTCAGCCGTGCCAAAAAGTGTTTTAACAAATGAGACGAGTTTCAAAGCTGCCAAAGTATTAAAGTCCCAAAAGGAAACCACTAAAAGCCAAAGTGACCTCAGTGCTTCAAACACAGAATGTGTAGAGAATATACGATGAAGCTGTGAGATTTAAATGAGACTATTTGATAGACATGTTACAGTTTTATACTTCCTTTAAAAGCCTAAATATATTTAACAGTAAGAGGGAGCAGAATCATTTTGTTAACAGTTCTGTGACGTCAGAGAAATATTGACTTGAAAAATAAAGTTTCTCAAACATCCCTGGTGTTGTTGTTTTCTTGTTTGATAAAAGAGTCAAAAAGGTGAAACTAAAAAGTGTTAAAGTCTGAAATGTACCAAGAATCATTTCTGTATCTAAACATGACACACAAACTGGACAAAGATCTCACTTTCTGTCGACAAGAACAGAGAAACAGATTTTATTTTTCAGTTTGGCATTCAGAAGATTTGTTCCTGTTAAAATAAGAACGTCGTCCATGAAATGAAAATTATTCAACATTCATACAAAGGAGGACACAACACAGGCGGAACTCGTCAACCTAACCGTGACGTAACAGACTCGTTTAAAGATGGTTTTAAAACAGACTTCTCTCCCTGAAACTGTTGAAACACGACATGAGCAGAATCTACATGGAGAGTTCTGTCTTTAATGCGCGCACAAAGGTCGGACAAATGAGGAGACGTGTAAACCAAAGCAAGAATTTGTTAAGAATCAACAAAATTAGGGTTTTCTTTTTTTTTTTTATTGTCTTTAAGGAAACAAAACCTGAAAAAAAAAGAAAAATTCAGACCATCCTGTGACAACGGAAAGGCTTTTTAATCCCGTCATCTGATGGATAATGGCAGTTTGATAAAGTGGGGTTAAAGAGGATAACACCGACGCTGTGGAAGGAAAAGTCCTCCCACAAAAACACTGCTGTAAATGTATAATGCATCTTAAATCCTCGTGCAGACCCCGTTTAGTCCGACTTCAACACCCTCCACCAACTTCAGCTTTAAATTCTGGAACAAAAAATGTGCAACTTCTATTTTCTCCTGAAGTTCACTCGGGTAAAGAGCGGGTACGGATGTGGGTTTTTTTTTTTCTATAAGCAGGAGCCTCAAGTTTGTTTCTAATCTTTGCTCTTGGGGCCGTGTGGGGGAGGAGCGCCCTCTACAGGAGCGGAGCTGGGGACGGAGAGCAGCTGCCCGGCGTGGATGCGTTCGTTGACGCGCAGCTGGCAGCCGTCCTGCAGCATGCGCAGAGCTATCCGGGCTATGTTGCGTGAATCGTCGAGGCCGGAGTGAGGACGGCCTTCGTACTTCAGACCCAACTTCTCCAACATGGTGCTCAGCTTTGTCTGTGCGCGAGGAACCTGCGGAGGAACAGAGCTGTTAGAATGGATTTGAGCTTGTAGAGTGCTTTTCTACAACACAAAGAACTTTTTACACCGCAGGTCACACACACACATTCACACACTGATGGTAGAAACTGTCCATCAGTAGAAACTAATCCATTCATACACATTGTCACATGAAGCAGCAGGAGTAATGTGATGTTAAGTGTCTTGCCCAAAAACACATCAAGGTGTGACTGCAGGAGCTGGGGATCGACCGACTCTAACATTGAGCCACAGAGGACCAAAAGTTGTTTAACGTCCCATATTTGATCGAATGAGCATCAATTCAATATCCTGATTTAAAGAGGAAGCATTGATCAATATCACATCTTTAGGTAAACCTGTTTTTGGATTCCCATCGTGCAGCTGTCATTTTTTACTTCAAAGCTTCAAGCAAATACGAAAACATAGGTCTATTTTTTTCTTTACACAAGAACAAAAAAACAACAACGATTTTTCTTGAAAAATCTATGAAAAAAGTTCAGCAACAACAAAATAAAATGAAACATGTTAACGATGAATAAAGTGTCATGATTTTGATAAAGTGTCTGTCTCTGTATGAGCACCTTTTGATTTGTGATGCACCGTTATCTATACAAGACTTCATGTTGTACTGGACTAGTATAAAGACAATAAAGTGAATATGATAACTGTTGCTGCACACTTTCATTATCAGGGTTTTATATTTTTATGAGTATTTTCATCCATATTATTCTTAGTGCAAGTAAAATACGACATTTTAATAATCAGAAAATAAAAAAACAAACCTTGTAGAAGTTTCCGTATAACTTTCTGATGTTTATCCATTTCTTTGCAAAGCTGGGATATTTGAGGCGGCTGATCTGACACTGGATGTTGAGGAACTTGCTCATGTCCCAGGCACTAAAGACGAAGAAAAAGAAGACACGAGTAATGAAGCTGTCAGTTTAGATTTCATCACACACAAACAGGAAACAGACATGTTAAGTTCAAACATACCCGTCAGTAAGAATGGCGTATTTGTACTTTGTCCCGAGCTCTCTCTCCTTCAGCCAGTCGACGACCCGCTGCAAGACACCTGGAAACGTGTCGGCTTCATCCACCATTTTCTGCACAAGATCACATCTTCAAACTCACTGAAATATTCACATATTCAAGAGACACTGGAATCAAACAGAACCAGAACCACCGACCTGTGTGATTCCTGTTAACTTCACACAGAAGTCTGAAAGCTGTGGGTTCAACTCTGGTCTGACATATTCCTGAAAAGAGTCCACCTTCAAACAAAAACAAAAGACACATAAACATGTTAAGAAACCAAACGACTCCACCTGCAGATTGAAAACTAAACATCCTCACTAAATCAACTCACTATTTCTAGCGTGTGCGTGTTGATGAGAACCATGGGGAACTCGATGATTTCATGATGGAAGTCTGCGGGGTTATCCTCTTCACACGTTGCCTCAAAGTCCACCACGCAGATGTAGTCGTAGTAGGTGTCGGTGGGCCCCCCCTCTCCTGCAGACTGCATCAGCTTGTGCTTCTTGTAGTGGCTCTTCAACCTCTTCTTCATCACGTCCTTCACACCTCTTCACACAAAATGTTTATGACACTGTTTAGTTCTTAGTTTGATCCTGGTGGTGGAAACCTTAAGTGCTCAATATTTAAGCTTAATTCATCATCAGCTTTTATATTATTTGACCTGCACATAGCCAGGTAAGCTCATTAATTTCTCTCAATGCTAAAATGATCATTAAATCATCCTGTGCATCTTAAAGCATGCAGGATGAGGTTGTCAAAATCCTCGACACAGTACAATCTGAATCTTATTCTAATGATCAGAAAGTACAGTAAAAGCGTTAATAAATCTTTACATCTTCAGTCGTACTTTTAACCAAAAGCTGCCGTGAGTGAACGAGAGAGCTCATCGACTTTATTACACAAAAATGTTTGCAACGCATTTGTGTAATTTAGATAGCGTGTAGGAGTTTGCCTGCATTTCTTTGTAATTACAACAAGGAATTAGTACAATTGCACGCAGGTGTGCAGCAGGCAGAGGGAGGAGGGAGAAGTAGGGAGCAACATCTGGTGTGAGCTACTACTCCCTCTTTATCTTCTGTATTACAGTCACGCTCACCTGGTGTCGAGCTGCAGATCTGCTAACTTTTTCTTTAACTCATCCCGTGACATGCGGTTGATTTGTCCATTAGCCAGAGCGATCTCTTTGTACACGGGATGACTGAAGTCACTGTTGGACTGAGGCGAGGACACCTCGGGAGCAGATTCTTCGTCAGGGATGACCCTGCTGCAAGGCTTCGTCTAAAAAGAAATGATATCATCACAATTCATAAAATGATCAGTTGTTGCTGTCTGTTCCATTTGCCCGCACAGAACTGGGAAAAAGGGCTTTCGTCTAGTCTGCTCCTTCTACATGGAACATGCTGCAAAAAGACTGGAAAATAACTGAACTGATTTCTTTGAATGCTTTTAAATCCAGGTTGAGAGCACTTGAGACCACCTCCTTTACTTGTAACTGGTTTTTTATAATTGTAATTGCTGTCTGTATGTTGTGAGTGTCACTTTTGTTGCCTCTTGGCCAGGACTCCCTTGAAAAAGAGGTTTTTAATATCTATGGGACTTTCCTGGATAAACAAAAGTTAAATAAAAAATAAAAAACATGAAGCAATTCAAAGGTGGTTCATAAACGATCATCACTATTTGATGTGATTCTTAACAGGATTTATCCCTTCATATGATAAGGTCATCTGTGTGGGGAAATTAGGATGATGTATAATTAGGAAAATGTTTAAATAATCTTCAAGGTATGAAGAAGATTTTGAGGGCATTTAGCTTTTTCTCTCACTGGAAGCACAGGGTGAGGTCAAGCTTTTTGAATTGATGAATTGATTGATTGATTGATTGGGCATATCATGTTAGAATAAGGTGAGGGGTTTGTTAAAAAGACATGAGTGTGCACGGGTGTAAATTGATATATTAAAATGGAGAAAGATGAAAATGTGTTTAAAATACAAAATAAGTTAAAGGGTGGGCCGAAGGCATTAATTAATTTAGCTTGTATTCTCCTTGAATGTTGGAGGTTCAAATTAAGCACATAGTAACTTGCATTTGTTTGGTCGTTTTATTTATTCTTTTCAATATGTTTTTCACCTAAGCAGCTAAATTGAAAGCCTAAAAATAAAAGGAACTGAAAAAGGAATTGTTTGAGTGGAGTCCAGTCCTTTTTGTGTACAATTCTACAATTCACTTATCAGACGCTTTTCTCCAAAGCGACGTACATCAGAGAGTAAGAACAACACAAGCAAGGATCTAGAAAAAAGGGAACAATGTCAGTAAGAGCAAACGATCAGCTTTGAGTCTGATTGGACACACAGGTGCTGACAGGAAGTGACCAGAGGCAAAGCACAACATTGAGGGCAGTTCTTGAGAGCTCTAATCAGTATAGAAACCATCTTATAAGTCGTCGTTATCAAACAAAAACCATCGTCATTACCATCATCATCATCATCATCATCGATGATGATGGTTGTGACGATGTTTTTTGAGGTATTATGTAGAAGATCATTCCTCTCAAGTTGGGAAGCACAAGAAACTTGACATTTTCCATGACTAGAAAACTGTAACTAAACTGTTTTCCAGTAGGCGTGGGGACCTTACTAATGAATTAATTTGTTAGGGACAGTGCATATTAATGTTCATTTTGTTCTTTTTTTGTTTGTTTTTCTTAATAGCTCGATTGGAGTATTATTTTTTTGTATTGTCTGTTTAGTTTATTTTATTGGATTTTGCATTTGTTAATGGTGAAGAATGGGGGTAGGACTTGACAAGCCTGGGCTTCTTCCTATCCCTTTTTGAACGAGTCAAATGTTTATTATACTGAAATTGGCTTCTTCTTTTTTTTTTAATACAGATTTTTATTTTTTTCCATTTATTTATTCATTTTCATCTATTTTTTAATCGTTCGAAATAAAGAAGAAAGAAATAATGAACAGCTGTAACAATTACAGCTGTAAAAATGTCAGATTATAGCAGAAGTGCAAGTTTCCATCTGTTGTCCCAAGGCAGGTAACAGAGAAAGATAAAATACAAATAAAATACAAATACAAATACACATGTGACACAAGACAATAATAGAGGTTAAAGGTTAAAGGTTAAAGACTTGGTTTTATCCACTGTTTGAGGTGTGTTTTGAAGGTTGCATATGTCTCTGATTGTGAGATATCTCTCATTTATTTCCTTTCTGACAGAACAGTTGTTGTATTTACTTCACATCACAACATAGAAACAGTTTGACAACATTTATAAAAACCTTTTAACCTGAAGATTAAACATTTAAAATTATAAACTGCCACGTTTTTTAATAAATAACATCAGATAAGTATTTAAGTTTTAAATGATAAATACCAATTATACCTGTGACACCTGTTTTTATTATTAAAACAGGTAAAGGTTGTTTACAGGCTGTGACATTAAAACACAGTTAAATATCTTTATAATGAATTAAATTAGCTTCTCACACAAACCTTTTCTTCTTCTCCGGGATCAGACATCTTCACATTGACGTCCTTGGTTTGAATATTCTCCTTGTGCTCATCCATTTAAAACAGGGAATCAATTCAAAACAAAACAAACAAGCGCGTTAATTTATGTAAACAAAGATGCTAGTAGCTAACAATGCTAACAATGCTCGGTGACTTCTTCTTCTTCTTCTTCGCGCTTGTCAGCTGTGACGCCGCCAAATAACAACGCTAAAAGGTTAAATTCTTACACAACTTGACCCCGTTAAAAAAATAAGAATGCATTTTAAAGCGATATTGGAGATATTTAAGAGCCGGTTGCACCGATTCATCCGTTAGCTCTCCGCGGCGACATGAAACTTTTCTCTAAGGTGGACAGTTATGACGACTTCCGGTTTGCGCCAAAACAAGACGGTGCTCACTGGCGCCATCGTGCGGTGAGGATGATACATGGCAATTTGCGATAATGAGAAAACGCCCGGTGTTAGGCCGAGAAATGCATCCCTGTCAAGGAAACTTGGAAACTGTATAATCTTTATTTCTGGGGGCAGAGATGTGATGACGAAGTATGTGATGTTGTGAATTAATTAACAAGTTTTGTTTTAATTAATGTTTTGTGAAAGAGGGGCAGATATTATAAGATTAGTCTTCTTTCTGCTCCTTTTCATTCAAAATTTGAGATTTTATGTTGTTTGTATTTCTTAACTTTATTGTTTGTTTGAATGAAATAAAATTTACAATTAAAAGTTAGTTTTATTTTGATCTTGTTTAGTCTTTTTTTGCAACAAAGTTTTTTCCAATCTACTGAAAGTTTTAATTGATTTCTTTATCTTTATAATTTCTTAATTTCTACTAAATACGTTGGTTTCACAAGATAAAAGGCAAACATACTGTACAAGGCTCTAGCAGTGGTAAATACAGTCTAAATGATTTTCTCTTGTTAATAGAAATACTTTAAGAGTGTAAATACTATCAAACTACTTTGGTTTTCTTTGATATATGTTAAATAAACTATAGGTTAAATCAAATTTGTTAGATATGATATCGATTCCAGCAGTGAATTTAATCCATAAATAATTTATTCTATGCAAAACCACTAAGATTTCCAGGCAGATTTAATTAAGACTGATAATAAAACACGGTTACTGGAAACAATGGCGTTAATCATTTTAATAAACATATATGGTAAAATTTAGTTTACACTAGTTTACACTGTTAAAACGTCAAGATTTAATTTGGAGGCGCTGCTGACAGCTAGGTGGCAGACTAATCCATGCTTTATTCTGTGCCACGGTGCCTATTAGAAATATAAAGTAGAAAGTTCTTAACACTAGTTTGTATTTGTCCTGCTTGATGTTGTTGACCCAGGACAGGAGTTTGACCGGGTCGTGTACTGTGGCTCCTCTGAGCAAACGAACTGTAGCAGAAACAGAGCAGTGTGCAGGGCAAAGAGCAGGAGCAAAGAAACCAACAAAACATCGTCTGAATAATGAATCTGAGGCCAGAAACCCTGGATTAAAGATTTATAGTCCACAAAGCAGCCCGACCAAAGAACTGCTGCTTTTTCTGTAGCCAATTATATATCCATCAGTATGCTTAGAGAATAAACTGTTATTGTCTTTTAATGTAGACCAATCAAAAACACCAGACATGTATACAAGCAGCTGTGAATCCTTCAGGACTAAATTAGTTATGCATCAGTTGTTTCACTCATTTCCAAGAGAAGGAGAGATGAGATAATTTACTTAAATACTAAAAAACATGTTTTGCTTTTTAGCCGCCCTCCGCTGTGCAGCTGCTGTTTGTCAAGTCATTCACAGCAGTTTCATGTATGAACTCCTTGTGAAGCGTGCAGCGCTGTTTGATCCCTGTTCCTTACATCTCACACAGCCTCTCTGATGGATAATGCATAATAGATGATTTG